CCACACAGTAAATTATTAGCTAAGACACAGAAGACATGAAGATGTGCCTGGCATATGAAATGTAAAGTGGGTAAAGAGCTGCCTGAAAGGGGCATGGTAATTGCTTCAGCTGAAGTGGGGGGGGGGGTGGGGTGGGGTGTAGACTGAAGGGGTTTTACCAGTCCAGTTCCTTGAGTTTCTGCCTCAAAAACTATCCTGCTTAACATCTGCATTAACGGTCTTGGCACAAGAAGCAGGAGAATGCGAAGGGAATTTGCTGATGAGGCAAAATGAGATGCTGTCATCAATCTAGAAGAGGCCAGGATATCACACAGAAGAATTATCATGACCTTGAGGACTAGAGCAATGGAGAAGGGATTTGATTCAGCAGTGCAGACTGTGCTGTCATGCTGCTGGGGACAAGTGAAAACAGGAGCAGACATTCCAGTTTGGGAAGCTGTCAGCTGGACTGGAAACAGCTGGGGCAGGGAAAGACCCATGCAACAAAACACAAGACTGTGACAAGACCTTGGTGTTATACAACATGAGAAGAGTTAAAAGCAAAGAGTTTGGGTTGAAGGGTTAGGAAAATGAAGGACTGATGTGTGTGAATGTATCAGAGCCAACACCAGGGGTGGAAAAGAGTGGACTCTGCTGGTATAATGGCTAGAAAGTGGCTGGGAATACAAGTTAGACGGGAAATGACATTTCTGTATGAAAGGAAAGTTTCATGTGCAGGTTTCTGACACAAGCAGGGCAGATAAAACACAACCATCACTCAGGTGTGTCTCAGTCCTCTTGTGCAAACAGCATGTTTGAGAAGTCAGAGGAGAGGTGCAAGCTTCCTTCTGAATTTGAACTGGTTTGTCTTTATAGGAGCCAATTCCCAGAGGCATTTCAGTCCAGTTTAAAGGTGTCACTAACCACAATGCTGTTTTGGAATCAAATGCTCTACAAGGCTGGACAAACACCTTCAGCCCGGGTGGGTGGCAGCTACCTGCTCTCTTATTCCCAGGACAAATGCTGGATTCACTTGTTCCCCTCCAGGACTGAAAGTGATCTCAGCAGTTGTGGGGTTTGGTACATGATTAACTGCTTCACTCTGAACCCCTCAGCCTGCTCAGCTCAAGCATTCAGTCTGCAACCACTGAGTAACAGCACTGCTTACCAATTTCCTTGAGTATCCTTTCTGGATGTGCCCTTGCTGCCACATCCCAGGAACATGGTCACCTTAAGCGTAGTATTTAAGCACATCCAATCTCCTTTGGGATTATCATGAGTTTCCATTTCTTTTTTCAGTTTCCTCTGTGTCCTGGGCTCTGATCACCGCTTCCTGGGCTGCCTCTGCTGAGTCAAAAGATTTTTATAATGCTATTTTAAGTTTCCAGGCTTTATCTATTACTTCCTCTTTCTCTGGAATCTCCCTTTCGAATTTACTGGCACCAGCCTATTTCTGGGATCAGCTTGTATCCCTTTTGCCTTGCTCCTTTCAGCTACAGGACATAGGACTGAATCATAGAATAGTTAAGAGTTGGAAAGGACCTTAAAATCATTTGGTTCCAACCCCCCTGCCATGGGCAGGGATGCCTCACTTTAGACCATGTCACCCAAGGCTCTGTCCAGCCTGGCCTTGAACACTGCCAGGGATGGAGCATTCACAGCTTCTCTGGGCAACCTGTTCCAGGGCCTCAGCACCCTCACAGTAAAGAATTTCTTCCTTATATCCAACCGGAACTTCCCCTGTTTAAACCCCTTACCCTTTATCCTACCACTACAGTCGCTGATGAAGAGGAATCACACTCTAGGCAGGATTTTGAAGGGTCCCTCCAGGCCTCTCATTTCTATTCTATCATATCTTGGCTTTGCTTTTAGGACCAAGCCTGGAGTAACGGCAACCATTAATTAGCCCTTCACCACCCTTCTAAGAGATGGCTCTTTCCTGCAGACTCCACATACGACAAAGCCTTCTCCCAGGAGAGGCACCACTCCTGATTCAAATCGCTCTTTGGTGTGAAAACGATTTTCTACCCCATTCTAAATGCCTCAGTGCAATCCCAAGGGTGGGCTCCCTTGTGTGCCCAGAGCCCCTCCACAAAACTGACCCTACTAGCCCTGAAAATGCCTTGCAGGAAGGTGGAAAGAAGTTCAAAGAGCACAGAGAACCAGAAATAACAACCCAGAGCCAAGTCTTGCATCTGGGTCTGTCTTTTGCCCATAATACCGAGTAAAAACAGTTTGACTGGTGATGTTTGCCACCAAGGATTTATCAGAGCTATCCCCATACTAGGACTGTGTCCCATCACCATGAGCAGCAGGCTGGGAGCACATGTAACAGTGACCCTCCCGAGGTTTGAGCACAAGTGCCAGGGATGCTCTGGGAAGGACACAGGAAGCTGGCAGCTGCCTCCAGTAAGAGAGAACAAGTATCTTGGCACAAGAGACAACAGCAGACCTTGCTGGTTCAGACTACATGAGGCTACAGAGAAGTGAGGCAGTGACACAGAGAGATGCAGGGAGGACACCCTGCTTCCAAAGAAGAAGAGGAAGAAGCTTGCTTGTGGGTAATTCTGCAACAGCAGTCCATGAAGGCAAGATGTGAACACATCATGCTGCTGGTGACTGGACTCCTTAACAGCAAGCAGTGCAGGGAGGAACAGGTCAAGAGCAGCTGTCTTGGGGATGAGCCACATGCACTGCAGTGCCTGCCTTCCAGGGCTGGGTTAACCCTGGATCCAGGCTTGGTGAATATCAAGTGGCTGGTCTCTAAGAGACAGGTCCCTGGAGAGGACATGCTGCCCCTAAGGCCTCAACAGCATCTGCCCACTCCCATAGCTCAGCTCAGGAGCACCTTGCTGAGCAAGGTTTGTATGAGGGCAAAGAGAGCCCCTTGAGGCAAGTAGGTTTTCAGAGAAACACAGAAAATAGGGCTGGGGAGAGTCACCAACTTCCACATGGAAGCTCAGCACTCACTGTTTCACTCCAGGAACTTATTTCCTTGCTCTCCAGGTGATCCATTAGCACTTCCTCATGGCTGCAGTATTTTTCCTTCTGTTCCTTGCTGCAGTTTGAGACCAGAACACTGTGTCTTACCCAGCATGAAAACAAAGGATGAATTTGTTCTTTCCTCCTTGCAACGACCCTTGCAGACTGTTCTCAGGCCTCTCCCACCCTCTTTACACTGACACACCACAATTCTTCCATGCTCTGCAAATTTAACAAGCCTATGCTTGTTTCAAATAGCATTAAGGAAAATATCACATAGCACTGGACCTGTGGGGTCCCACATGCTTTTGGCAGTCATGGATGAAATCCACTCAAGCAGCCATTGGCCATTTTCACAGTCTGATGGTGACAATGACGTGTCAGAACTATTACAGGATTGTTGCTGTAATACAGGGAGCCAGCTCATTCCCATGGGATTAAGCTGTTCGTGCAGTAATCACTTCCCAGAGCATGCTGCTTGCACATTCTGAATCCCCCATCAAAAATCCTGTCAGTTTAAACACCAGGAAGAGAATACGAGCAAGTTCAGGCTAGTGTGGGAACTTACAAATTGGCAGAGATTCCCAAGGAGCGATGCAGGGTTTCCAAGCCAGGTCTTTCCGCTCTGTGGTAGAGGCAGTTTAAACTGTGCTGCAGAACAGCATTGCAGCACCATCTGCTGACTGCTGGTCCACAGCTCTTCACCGCAGTCAGCTCTCTGTTTGGCTTCGAACGTTCTAATGTGCTAACAGCGTCATCAGGTAAATAAATCGCTCTTTAGGGTGACAAACCTTGCAGTTACTGATTAGAACAAGCTATCTGTGTTCTCTTCCCTGCTCTGGGGCAACCAGGGTTCACACTTCTCATGCTTGGTTCAACTGAAAGACAATCTTACATCATCCTCAGCACATCTGTAGCTGCCTGTTGTAAGTGGTCAATTCTGCAACTGAGTATGAGCATCAGAAGCACTAACATATAAAGTTTAATTGTAGCAAATATTTCTTTAGGTTTTAAGCAAACTAATACCCAGGTGGCACTTCTCTTTGCCTCCCAGCAACAGCCCAGTACATCTGACTTCACCTGTGGCTGTAACAAGCAACCTTCCAGTAGATACCAGCTCTTTCAAACATGCATCCACGTATGCAGGAACATGGTGCACATGAGCAATGCACAGCAAGAAGGGCTGGGAGCCAGCAGGCTGAGAACAGCTTGTGCACATAGACTTAATTTTTAAGCTTACAGTGTGACCTTGTCCTTTCTTTCATTGTGGTATACTGGACCAAGTCCAAAGAAATAAATCGTCCTGCTTGTGGGGCAGTTCTCTTTCTCTGTGCCCAATGCCATGATGCAGCTCAGCTACAACAGCAAAAGAAAGCCCCAGCATATATGGCTGAACAAAGGTACAAGTTTAGTTACCTGTGGCAAGACACCCACACACACAAAAAGGAAACAGGAAAATAAGGACCAGGGAAATTCCAGCGCTCCTCCCCAACCCCAGATCTAAGAATGCCATGTTCAGAGTTGGTTTGTACTGGTTTTCTCTAGGACCATTTCCTATCTCATCACTTTCCAGATTCTGGCTAATGTTACCTACCCAACCCCGAGACCTTGACCGGATCTGCCTCTTCAGCCTGACACCTCTGACAGCTTCTCCACCTCACACACAAGGCTTTTCCCAGATGGATCTGAAGATGTATATGTAATAGCCAATAGTCTGCAAACATCTCGCATCAGACAGAGCTGTGAAGAGAATTAACACACATCACACCCCACCAGCCGAAGGCAGCAACTACTCCCAGGGCTGAGAAAATTGACAACAGGACACCACTGCAGTTGGCTGTTATGTGCATCCTGCCATGTAACTGTCACAACTGGCAGAGGTCTGAGAACAGAGCAGGCTACAGATACTATCCCCCACTGTGCTCTCAGTCTGTTGCAGATGTGTACATGGGAGATTTGTGTGTTTGTTCTTGGAACTTGCCTTGTTAATGCTGTTGCAATAGTGACACAACATTTACCTCAAAGCTCTTACTAGCAGGTGGAAATGGGAGCTTTTTATTGAATGTATTTTTTTAATCTTAGCTTTTAGAAAAAGATATTTAACAACATTACTATTCATTTTTACAACACATGCTCAACAGTGCTACTACTTCAGCTACAGCTGCTTACTGTCTGCTTCCCCAGGCTGAAGATTTATGGTGAAACAGACAGTTAAACACACACAAAACCAGAAAATGCAAGTAGGTTTTACTAATGAGGCAGACATTTTGCTGCGTGCACCTCTCCATCAGAGACAAGTCCAACTTTAGCAGACACCAAGAGCATCTTTTGTCTCTGTCTAATTTGCAAGCTGCATTACACAGAACTGGGGAAACAAGTTAATGTATGCAAAGTTTGCTGGAGCGGCAAAAGCAACAGCAAGTGCTTGATGGAGTCAGAAACCGTAGAGAGAAGAGAAGCTTTGCATTTCAAACAAAGGATTCCCCCAGGAATGAGAGGTATTTGAAGATGTCCACCTCTACATCTGGAACTGAAAGCTGAGATTTCTCACAGAGAAATGCAAATCAATTAAGCAAACCAAGAAGTGTTTGGGGAGCAAAAGAAAGGATTTGGCAGGCAGACACCAACATGCTGAGCAGCTCTGTGGGACTCCTGTCCCATGGACGTGACTGAAAACATAATTAGTCTATTGTGTAGGTAAACACCAAGCTCGTGGACAATTTTCTTCTCATCCCAAACATCTCCTGGCCACTTGCTGCCTAGCATCCTTTCTACATCAGTACCATACTGGGAAGTCAGGGCGCAAAAACACCTGGGGGAGGAAGGTTTACTGAAGTATAAAGTGTTTCTTCAAAGTGCATAAGTAGTAAACAACCCTCCTCTGGGTTTGTATGTTTACCATTGTACCCAAAGACTCCATGTTACACTGGCAGTTTCAGTGCTCCCAGCTTACATTACCTGCTTGGAAGCTGAATGGCACCTCTCTAGCTAAAGTACCGTGTCTCTTAAGCTGCTGCCTGTCAGCAGACAGAGCTGTGCAAGTGTCCTCATATAGGTGCAGTTTGCAGCAGCCAAAAAAGATGGCCACAATGCCCTACCAGTCTGGTAAGGAAATGAGAGGCTTCAAATGTAGATCACATCCGAGTCGTGCTGCTGAACCTACAGACAAATCAAATAGGAAGAATTAGTTCCATCTTGAACTCCTGCGTAAAACAAAGTAATTCCCTTTGGTCCTGTACTTGCTTTACCTCCAGCCCTGAAGTCTTTTGCAAGATGCCCTGCAATAACTTTTTCTTCTTTCTCAAAACCAAGCACCTCTGCTATTTGGATAGGTTAGGCTTAAAAAGTTGCTTGTAACTTGCATTAGAAAGAGCTGCTTCCTAATCTGTTGCTACATTCAGTTGCTCCTTCTAGTTCTAAGCACACAACCCTGAAGATTCAGGTCTTGAAGGTTATACACTAGAGCCTCTAAATAATCCTAAAACCCCTCAGTTTTGTTAATATAGAACAACAACAAAATACATCAAGCTTTCCTTATTGCCAACACCTTGCACAATTAGCTATTGCCAAGAGAAAGGTGACTTCCTTCCCACTGTTCAAGACTGCATGTCCTTACAGTTCTTTTCACTCATTAGTGCTTCAGTACTCTTTGACAGGGAACACATTCGAAGAGAACTGAACTTTTGGAAGTCTAGGCACTTACCGGTATCTTATTCCCTGTGCTTAAAAGAGGGATTACCTGGTTTAAGATACCAATAAACCTGATATACAGGCACAATATGTTTTAAACTCTCTGCACCTGGGAGTGTATTCTCATTTCCAAGCCTGGATGACACAAATAAAATTTAACACAGATCTTTGTACTATGGAGTAGGGCATTTCTGGTTCAGTTACCAACACAGCTTTGCATTCCAGCTTAGATCATGCAAAAAAACAGATGGCCTTAAGTTATCAACAGTCCCAAACGGTGCACACCAGTGCGGGGTCTCCAAACTCATTCAACAGCCATGCCTTGACACATCATTTCAGAGGCTGTGACAAAACAGGTCCCTAAAGCCAGGCATTATTGACCTCTCTGAACAATACACTTTCAGTGAGCATTTGGGAATTTACTTACAAAGCTGATTACCTTTATAATCTGTTTTCTAGTTCCTGTGCCCACACTGCTGGCAACCAAGGAATTGGCTTGGAAAGAGGACTTTTCCACTGGCACCGTGTGCTGAATTTTGTTGGTACAAGGCCAGCTGCTTGTAGTATTTAACAAGTAAGCAGGGAAAGGTCTTCGAAGATTTATATCCAATGAATCTCCAGTTTCAAAGGTTTTCATCCACAATGGGGTCTTTAAAAGAGCACATGGAAATTTAATACCCTCTCTATCTCAACTCTTATAAAGCCCAAAAGAACATCAGATACAGAGACAGAAAATAAAGGCCATCTTCCCTCATCATTTTTCCAAGCCTCCATTCTCTCCCTAAAACCACTGACTTGGAGCCATTTTGCTACATGTGGAACAATCTGGAAAGACAAATCCAGCCCTATTCTTGCACTGGCTCACGAAGAGGCTGGAATGTTTATATAAATAACAAGAAACTTCCAACAGAAATCTGGGTTTAGTTCCTCACTGCCTTGAGAAAAAAAAACCACACACCAAGACTCATGACTTTCAGCAACCACAAAGCACGTGAATGAGAATGTGATGCAAACGATGAGGAAAGACATCTAAATGTGTTATTCAGTTACAACAATTTAGGCTGCTCCAAGACCTTAAGCCCTTACTGTGATTGCATAATCTGTAAAATAAGGTATTTCTTGCTTATGGTACTGGTATCCTGCCCAGGAAAAACTTCTTGGATGTTTTGACATGAAATTTTCCTTGTCTTTGTTCACACTTCTACTACTTTACTATCAAGGGTACTACAGCATGTGCCTTGAACTGAAACACAGCAATTATATTTGGCACACACATACTATTCTCTTTAATGGCTCATGCTGAAAAGGTGGCAGGTATTTGGGGTATACATACATTTCCTAAGGAGCGATCCAATGATCCCAGGACTTCATTCCAGTGAGAGTAAAGCCCAGACTGTTTTTCTTCTAGTTTCAAAGCATGAATTTCAGATTTCAGTTCTTTCAGTCGATCTTCAAACTTTCTGCTCTTTTCTAAGTAGTCTAGCCTGCAGTCCACATGTTAGAGACAAAAAGCTTATTGGCATGACATAGCTCAAGAACTGGTGTGTGCGGAAGGAGGACAGAGGAAGGTCTTAGTTACATTTTGGGGCTTTGAGAGGCAGCCCCCTGAACCAGGGAGAAGGGGGTTCACTTCCACCCTTCAGCATTCACACACTTACTTTTTATCAAGCATGTCCTTCCAGACCAAAAGAGGGAAAACCTCTCCGCGTATGAGATCAAAGCAATACCATATTTTAACACTAGAGGGAAACTTTTGTCCTCTAACGTGCTGTCAAACGAGCAAAGTTTGCCCCTGACATAAAGTTCTCCAAGCCAGAAGGGTTCTGGACTTAGGGCTTGATGCCACCAGAACACTCTTTGTCTGTGTAAACAGCTAGTCTTACACAGACATGATCCACACCAGCCCAGTGAAAGGCTCCAGACGTATGTGCAAGTAGGAGGCCATCCTGAAACATTAAAAGGGTGAACTGTGATTCCCAGATACTATATTTTTCCTTTCTGTACTTTCCATGATGAGCATACTCCTTTATTTACACCATAAGCATAATGATACCTTTCTCTCTCTATCTCAAAGGATAGTCTCTTGAGGTCAATGTCCTTCAAATCCAGCTTTATGGATCCTTTGTCAAAGTTGGCATCTCTGGTGTCAACTGGCGAGTATTGTGGGTACTTGACCATGTGCTGAAAGAGGTGACACAATCACTGTCAATGAAATCTGATTGTTCAATTTGGGGTTTATCTCCCCAGTTTCTGCAAAAACGCCATGCTGAGCTACTCCATAAGTTACCTATAGATTCTGAGACACACGGATGCTCCTGCAGCCCTTCCCCTCTACCTGAGTGGCCCCAGATGAACTGCTGAAGTCCATAACACACAGATACAAGGGCTGAGAAGTATCCTGACTGCAGTGTTCTTATGTATTTCAGCAGACAATGGAAACCCATTCTCAGCAACACTGGAGCAGAGGAGGGAGTTGGGGCACACAGCTGCCTTCTTGCTGGTGACAGTTTCATCTGCTTTGCCTAAAGACACTCATGAGCTATGTCCATGCCAGGACCACACAGCTGGCTCAGAACAACAACCTCCACAAGGTATTGCCCAACTGAGATGGCACAAAGTCAATACTGGGTATGAATGAAGGCAAGACAATCTCTGCTCCCCGAGTCCCAACAGCAGTCCTGCATCTAACTTTTGTCTTGCCTTTCTTCTCATCCTGACTCACTGCCCTGAACAAATACAATTTCCATCCTAGCTACACTGTGTTTAAGCACCACTTGGTCCTTTAGGTCTTTGTCCCCCAGCTGGATGCAGACATGCCACTACTCAGCTTGATGGGGGCTATAAAAATGTAATCTCTGAAGATGAAGTGGTACCCAATAGAGCAGGAACTTACAGGATAATTAAGCCTGGTTATGTCTAAGAGTTTCTGCTTTGCTTTCCGTTCAGCCTCTCTGGCTTCATGCAGATCTTGTTTCAGATGCTCTGCTTCCTTGGCTCTGTAAAACAAATACCCTGTCATGAATGGTTGATGATTTCCAGTATAAAGCAAGATATGGATTTCAGAGCTAGGCACCTCACTAGCTTCCAGAGAACAAGATCCATTATTGTGAGTTATTCCTTTACCCAAACATACTTGCAGTGGGTTGCTCAGATGGAGAACTAAGTGGACACAGCAGGATTGCTTTCAAAGACAATCCTGCTCAAACTGGCTGAAGGAACATGTTTTTCCTACTCCTAATTTCCATGGGCTCAGTTATGACCTGCTGATACAGATGCTCCAGGGTGTCAGAAATCCTTCCCAAGGTGGGGAGAGGTGCAACATAATCTGCTCTTTATTTTGGCAAACTTTTTGGCAGTATCCTAAAAACAAGCAGAAGGCCCTTAATAGCAAGTTAAACATCCTCTGTCAACAGGAGTCTGCTCTGAATCATCAGGCATTATATGGAACACACAAACTCCAAGTGGTTTATGTTCCACAGGAACTTACCTGATTTACAGTTCTCAGAGATCTTAAAAGGATATAAGAGACCACCACTTGGTACTAATAAATGAGAACAGCCTCCTAACTCACAGAGTATACAGACTGGTAAAGGTAGATAGCTAGGTAGCCAGTGCTCTTTTGATAACACTCCACAGCAAATGCATCTGCATTCTGGATCTGTAATACTAAACATCTCTAAAGCTTTGTATCTGATCCTCTGGAAGCTTCTCAACCTGCACCACAACCACCCTGTACCAGGTGAAACAAATAAGATGCAGGAAGGCTTAGTCACTCTTCCTCCAAGGCTTAGCTGAGAAAAGCAGCACATTCTCCACCCAAGCATCCCTGTACAACCACACAACCTCACTCAAGCAAACCTAACCTCCGGTCAGACTCCTTCACCAGCTTCACTGCTATCAGCTCTGCCTCCCGCATCTTTTGCTCCATCAGGCGTTTCTCCTCCTTGGTTTTCAGAGCTGTGATCTCCAGCCTCTGTCGCTCTTGCTCAGCTTCTGCAGCATTCTGGGCCAGCAATTTTGCCTCTTCTTCTGCAATCTGAGCTTTCTCAGCCAGCAACTCTGCTGCCTCCTGGGATCGGAGCTAAGAAGAAACCGTTTTTCTTAGTCACCCTGTCTAGCATCTACAAAACCAGCCCTGAAACAGTCAGAAGAGGATATCTTTTCCCAAAAGATCAAGTGATAAAAATATTATTCCTTAAAACTATAGTAAACATAACTACAGGGTCTGGTGTTCCTCCTCCCATCCAGAATTGCCTCACTTCCTTCCTGCTGCTCACCTCTACAAAGCAAGGAGCTGGACAAAGACATCAACCAAAAACTGAAGTTGGCCCCTTCAGTTGCCAGTACACCATGCCCCTTTCTCCCAGTTTCAGCTCCAAGGTTGCTTCCTTTCTTCCCTCTTTGCATGAAGAAAGCACTCTGAACCAAATACAGGGAGCAAATGGCTCCTAGCAAATGGAGATTATGGCAGATCAAGACTTCCCAGGAATTCCAGCATGCCTTCTCCACCAGCGGTCAGAAACTCTCCAGCCTTGTCTGAGCCATAATTCCTGGTGTCTCACAGGAACCATAAGGAAAAAAAGCTCCTAAACCAAGAAAGGCTGTCAAGCATGAGAATATTCAGACTAATGTGCTACTCACCAGGGCCTCATTGGCCTGCCTGGCTTCATCTTCCAGCTGGAAAAGACGCCTTTCCAGCTCTTCTTTGGCTCGCTCAGCTTCTTCTCGGAGCTGCTTCTCCCTGGCCAGCCTTTGATTCTCCATCTGGAAATAGAATGAGCAATACCACATTTGTGGGTTCGCAGCAGAATCTCATCTTGGCCCAAGGCAGCACAGCAAATGAATCTAATGAAGAAGGGGTTGCTCTCTACCTGGTGGACTGATACTCACCAGAGATGCAGTGCTGAAGCTGCTTGCACTTTGCAGCACTGAACTCCTTTAACAAGTAATACTGGTTATTTCAGACCTCTGGAAGAGCACCTGGATCAATCTGTTACATACCCCACATCTTTGCGATCACCAATTCGGTTTCACAAACATCACTTACATCCTCAGATGCTGTATACACACCAGAGCTGTTCCCACATCCAATCCTGCTGCACTTTCTAACCTCCCACACACATTGATGCAGTGCATGGACAGAAAGGGCACCAGCTGGAAAAATAATCAGTATTTTCAACAATAGAGGAGGAGAAAGAACCTACCTTTTTCCTAGCTTTTTCTTCCCTGGCTTGTGCTTTCATTTGCTGGATCTCTATTGAGTCCACTTTTCTTCTCCTCATAAACAGATCATGGTTTCCAATGCACAACTGCAAAATCTGAATATGAAAAGCAAAGCAAATGTGATTTTGATGTACTTGTGCCCCAGCCAGAGATATGAAGAGCCCCAAATTGGCCTCACAGGACAGAAACTCCCTATTCTGACTTCAGCCCTAGTACTGGCAGTTGCTTCCCTTCAAAGCAAATCAGCACGCAGGGCAGGCATACCCACGTACATAACAGCTCAGAAAAGTTCATAATAGGAGGAAGAGTTCCTTCTGTCCTTCTTCCATTTCCTGAATAAGAACAGGCAATAGATCTAGGCCATAAGTACAAAAGATGTAGCTGTGGGAACAGTCACCTGCAATGGGCCCTCCACAAGCTCACTGAGAAGTGCCCCAGCCCCTGTGGTTGTGTTAGGAAGCAATCAGTGCTGATGCCAGCTGATTAGGTCCCTTCTTTGTTGCAGCAAAGGAGAAGCAGCAGCTGATTAAGAACCTACAGCAGACAGATAAGCAGATGCTAGAGTGGCTTTGCACCTTTCCATATGCTACACCCTGTGCTTACAGTATCTGGATTTCCTTTTGTGATTTGGACCTTCTTCCACATCTTGCTTTCCACCCATCATCTCTCCTTCCCAGAGAAGACAAATGTATGCACCCTGACTTCCTGGACAAAACAATCCTCAGGAAAAAAATGCTGAAGCTCAATAGATTTTACAAACACTATTTCTTACTCAGATATCAGTCAGTATTACCAGACTCAGTTTTAAAGAAGGAAAGCAGGACACTTACCAATTTGTTTACTTTGAGTTGAGAGGAAAAGAACTTGAAGACTTCTGCTTTTTTGTCAAGAGGTTTAATAGTTAACTATACAGGCAAAAGAGAAAAAGAAAACACAGTGAGGAGGAGGAAAAACAAAGCTGAAACTATTAATACTAAAGCAAACTTTAGGCCATCTCCACTTCTCTCCAGGGAAGCAGTGATTTATGGCACAAGTGTGGAGAGAGTGATGCAGAAATGTTTTTGCTCAAAAGAATCAGAACCTGGGCTGCTGCTACCCAGGTTCCTTATCTCTTCACACAGCTGGCTATGTTAGAAGATACAGCCTCCCACAGACCCACCCTGGTGCCAGTTTGGATGGTGGTTTTCATAATAAACCCACCTGCACACTTGCACTCTATACTGAGAACATTGGAACAAGCACAGGTTATCAGGAAAACAGAATACATTTAAACCCCAGAAGCAGTCATACACTTAAAAGGGAGAAACCAAACATCTCTGAATAGCAATCACTGCAGGTGTAAACAAATGTATCAAGGCCTGAAGGATGACTTCTTCTGACCATAACAGTCCTGGAGCTCCTGCTTCCTCACATTTCAGTCCTATCTCCCAAGCTGTTTCCAGAGGACATGAAGAGCTTTCATGCTGCCAGGTCAGCACACAGTTTCACTGATAGATGTGCACAGTTTGGCTGCATAACAAATACAGCTCTATACTTTAAGATCCTGTTTGCCGTGACTCATGGGTTAGCTAGCACTACAGTTTATTCCTACAATTCATTTACAATGCAATGTATAATTTCAGACCAGCTGAGTCACCAAGATCATAATGTCCTACAGCTTGTTTCACCTCGTAGGTAACAACTGGTTGAATATGTTGCCTGGTGAGGAACAGGCTGTGAATGTGTCACTGAGTATAGTGGAGCTTTGATATAGGGCTGTGCAACTTCCCAGCAGTAGGGAGCTAAAGCAGTTCATTTAAAGACCAGAGGGGAAGTTTAATGTCAGGTATGGATCAAACTTTTTGGAGACAGAACTCCTGCCTGATTTAATGTGTGCACGTCTAACTCCAGACAGCAAACCTCATCCTCACTGTTTTTCGAAAGGCCTGCAGAAAATGGAACAGGCTGTGCTGTCCTTAGGCTGATGAATTCCAGTACCAGTGTAGTTTTCCTGGCTTTGTTTTTCTGATTATAGCCTTCCATGTAGCCACATGATTTGCAATGAGCCTAAATTTCACCCGCTCCCCACAGTACTTCCTACAAGTAAAAGATAAACTCTGAAATGACAGTGGAATTGCAATGGTAGGGTTGTGCTGACGACCGAAATCATTCACTGACAATCTGACAGAATTCAGGCAGGAAAACATGTGGATCTCCCTGCATGTCTCCTCTTGCCACTGTGCTTCAAAAACCTCATCTACAAGGACAGCTTCTGCATGTGAAAATGGCATTAAGTTTTAACAGATCATCTCATTCCTGCTGAGATAACTGAGGAAGGTGGCATTCATAACATCTATCTTTTTTTAGACAGCAACACACTTGTTTTCAAAGGACAAGCAGCAGGGAGGGAACCAGAACAGAGGGCTCTGCAAGTTTGGAAAGCTCAGAGCAGCCTCTGTCTCCTGGGGGAGCAGAGGATACACACAGCACATCAGAAAGGCAGGTCTGTTATTTCTAGTGTTGTAACAAAGCTCCCCAGGCTTTCCCCCTTCTCTCCCAGTTTCTTTAAACAGAGACAGCTTTCAGCCTGTTCCAAGAATCCCAGTCCACACCCATGCCCATATAAAAAGAATAATATATCAAAGCCATCATACCTCTTTCTCACTATAGGAAATGTTTCTGATAGCACTCCACTCAAACGACTTATTTGGAGAGAACCTGTTATTAATGCTGTAGATATGAATACCTTTGGCATCAACTCCAAGTAAGAGATCTGTGTGGTTTTTATTTTGCTAAAAAAAGCAACAGATACCAGTAAATGCCATTTACAGTGACATTAAACAACCACACACAAGAACCACACTCTAATACACTGATATTTATCAGGATTTTTAGGAAATTATGTTTCCACAGACTATTGTGAATAATGTCACTGCTAGCTAATAAACCCAGTCTTCCAGGTTGCCTAAAGCAGCTCAAACTTTTAGTCTGCTTCTCCTTCTTCCCCTTTACATACCCAGAGCTACCCAAGACCTCTGTCAGACTGTAAAACATTAACTGGTTTATTCACCTCCTCACTTAGCAGGCAAGTCAACCAAGCCAGGACAATCAGTAGACAACCCACTATCACCACAGAAAACCAGAAGTCAGAATCCCAGATCCAAACTCACTGGAGGGTTTTCACAGGACAGTACCATCATCTACAGCAATCGAAAACTGCTAAAATAAAGCACTTACAGCAATTGGGAAATAATTGACCCCATACATTTCCAAGTCTTGGGCAATTTTCAGGTAGTTCATCTCAGCTTCATCCCTAGCGAATAAGGTCATGGTTATACTTGGAGATTCCTTTCCAACCTTCCTCTCCTAGCTGACTCTACGTTTCCCATTTAGAAAAGAAGAGCCAATCTGCTCCTTTGTACTTTCTTTAGTTTTCCCATTTTACTTTCAATAATAGAAAAAAGGATAATAAAATGAGCATCGCTAAGGAATACAGTCAAGCTGTACCCATTTTGAATATATATATATGGTGTAATCTTTATTAAAATGCAAGTCCAGTCTTATCCTCATGTTAATGTTGCCACTCCATCATTATTATATCTTGGAAACCTACCCTACCATTGTTTTCCATGACGTGAGGGTATTTCTTTCAGGAAATAGAGTTCATTGAGAAATGAGTCTTGAACAAACTCTAAACAGAGCTTTGGGCAGAGGCCAAAGAAGGGTGAGAATCTCTCCACCCACCGTTCTTCTCCCTTTGAGGTGAGGCATCAGTAAGTCTTGAGGAAAATATTCAATGAAAACAGTGCTAAGAAGTATCTAGAACAGCCAAAGAGAAACTGAATCGAAATGCTAGGAAAGGCTGTCTCTGGGAGCCAGCAGTTCCTACTTCTTGTTTAATTGAATTTCCAGACATGCTGAATGTCTCAAAGTAGCTGTATGTCCACACGGAGTAGCACTAAAACTCAGTCCTGGAACTATGATGCTGTGTCTTTACTGTTTTGATTCCCTGCTAAGTACACTTCCAACTTTTGAGCCACAGTTTTCACAAGGTATAAAATATATCAGATTCATTCTTTTTATCCTAGGGGAAGACTGGTGTGATAAGGCTCCAGAAAGGCAGCTGCTGCATAGGACAGACACACCAGCAACTCCAAGCAGCTAATGGCCTTAAATGAAACTCTTAGGGCTAATTGCAAATTCAACACAACTCGGACCTTCTGCAGGAACTTCCCTCTGCTGGCATACATGGACTCTGATGAGACAGGACTCTTGGTTTCGGTATGTTAGGTCATGAAGCTCTGCAAGAGCCCTCAGCTTCTCTGTTCACTTCAAAGCAAACCCAGTTTACAAGCATCTGGAGCCCTACACAAGACACTTTTTACACCAGATGATGTAAAGATGCTTTTTACCCCAGAATGGTGCGTGTTTTCATCCTTAGTTATAAATTAACCTATTAATATCACAGCTTTGAAACCACAATGCCTTTGCTCATTCTACAAAAGCCAAACTTCACTGAAGACAGCAAGTAACCAGTTACTGAAATGCATGGGATTTACAAAGAGTGAAATAATTTCAGTACCTGGCGATACCCCTGTGCTCAGCATACCAAGCAGTAATCTTTTCTTCCCACATCTCTGCTGTCAGCTGATACTGCCTGAGGACCTACAGAGAAAAGGAGGAGTTTGGTTTCCTTTGAAGATACATATACGTGTGGGGCCTCTCCCAAGCAACATGAATGCAGCAATGCAGTTCACAGCGTGGTCATTTTACCAAGCTCGGGGCAGATGCAAACAGTTTCTAATGCTCTGGTTAATTCCACAGCAATAGCTGTGTTGCAAAGAGTAGACTTAAAGATTTGGCTTTATAAAGAATAAAGACTTACCCTTTTGGGTAAAAGCTCATCATGGGCTAGAAAGCCTGGCTCATGAAAATTTGGGTCATAGTCACCATACTGTCCCAAGAAAAGAAAACATACTTTAGTTTGTTAGATTGAGAATGCTGAAGAACTTGTCACTTGCACAGTTTAATGCAATTGCTTGAGACAAATTATGATTTATTTCTTTTGTAGACAGGGTAACACCTAATAAACAGGTCCATGGAAGTTCCTTCCAATCTTTGTGTTGTGCATGTGGCTCCATGCATAGGTGGTCTGTAACCTTAGACTTCAGCCTTAGACTGCTGCTCTTGGTAACTGCAGATACGAAGGAATCTTCCATGACTTCATACCCTCCTCTGAACTACAGGCTACGTTCAGGAGCGTAAGTTCCCCTACTCATTCTTATAGCTACTCTACATAGATTGGGATGCTAAGAACTTGTGTTCACCTCCTGCCACTGTGCAAGTTTGGCTCTCGGTGGCACGAAGTGAGCTATGTACTGAGAGATCCTAAATCCTTCTATATTGAGCTCTGATGTCAGTACCTGCTGTATCCATGGAGAGCTTTTAAATCAACAGGAAATAATTCTAGCTGAGAGAAAGATTACTTCACACCATTAGGTCCAAAGAAATCCCTTAAGTTGCAAAAGCATAGTATATATTAGCAAAATCCTTGTAGTGGCATCTAATGCTTATTTTTCTAGCTGAGCCTGTGCCTCCCAGGATGACCAACTTCTTTAACAGCAAATTTTAGCACTGTTGTGTTTTACACACCACCATGTAAATGTGCTGATTAAAAAAGGACAAAAAAAATCTATTTTAAAAAGAGCACTTCTATGCACAAACCTTGGCCTGAACAGCATAAGAAGCCAGCAAAACTGTTGCTTCCGGAGAACAATAGATTTCCTCATCCAGTATTTGCTTCTTAACCTGAATCAAGAGAAAAAGGGAGCAAGTTAAAGAAGCTCAAAGCTGGAACTTAATGTGAGGCTTGAAATGAAACTAGACATGCCCAGACTATAACTTGGCAAACATCACCATTATAAATTAATAACAGTAACAAAATGGCATTCACAAACACAGGAAGCTTTTACTTAGTATTGCATTTAATGGGGAAAAAAAAAAAAATCCCACCTTTTGAAAAAGAATGGATTATAAAATTGTTAATTATTATTAATTTAAGTCATTTCAACAATTCTTTCTCTTCCTGCTTTGAAAAAGTTACCTGTACCACATGTAAAACATCAGCTTCTAGACTGGAAGGGACCATCTAGTCAAAGCAGGTCCAACTAGACCAGATTATCCAGGGCCATCCACCTGACTAATGCTGCCAAGGCCAGAGACATACTGAAAACCATAATCATAGAAAAGTTTGGGTTGGAGGGGCCTTAAGATCATCAGTTCCAACCCACCTGCCATGGACAGGGACACCTCACCCTAGACCATGGCACCCAAGGCTCTGTCCAACCTGGCCTTGAACACTGCCAGGGATGGAGCATTTACCACTTCTCTGGGCAACCTGTTGCAGTGCCTCAGCATCGTCATAGTAAAGAGCTTTTACTTATGTCCAACCTGAATTTCCCCTGTTTAAGTTTAAACCCATTCCCCCTTGTCATATCACTACAGTTTTCAGTATGTCATATGTTCTCAAGCTTTTCAGATTGAGAGAATAAAGGAGACCCCACAACAGACCAGTTACAGTGGCCTAAGCACAACAAAAACATACGGGCTTAAAACCAAAAGCCCAGTATAAATGGTGGAGTCTATTAACATTCATTTCATTTTAATACACCATGGTGCTACCACGATCAGAGGTGTAATAGCTTGGAAGATCCTGCTTGATTTTAAATCAGCTGTGTAATTTTTACTTGAAAACCTAGAGGGGAAGGAGAAATTAATCTTCACAAATCCTCCTCTCAGGTGTGATGTATTCAGCCTACTAACAAGCACAAGACTAGGAAATTCTGCATAATGCACAGTCTTAAACATTTCCAAGAAGAAAAATCACTTGCGATAGCACGGAGCTCTCTTTATAAATGCACTTTGGCACTGTAGGTATTGTGAACCGAAATGAACCATCAAGAAAGCTTTTCTTTTAAATGTAGTCTCTTGTGAGCACAGTATATGAACCTGAGTAATAGTACAGGGAAAATTCTTTGTAAGCTGTTAAAATGGAAAGAATGAAAAGATTGAAACAAGTTTTCTTCCAAATTGGAAAGCTCCAACTTTCATACTCCATGGTGCAAATCATACATTTGAGAATTCAGAACAACTTCAGATAAATCAGTTCTTACAAGGGCATTTTGTTACGCTTCTTTATGAAGAAGCAAATTACCTGATGTAGAGACAGACAATGTTTAGCTTTAGTCATTTACATTTATTCACACCTTTTTGCAAAAAGCTGTTATGGCACATTAATTTGTAAAGGTCTGAATAGTCAGGAAGAGCCGAAATGTGGAGGCATCCAGATGTCTGTACATGTTTTTCCTATTAGCATCCAGGTGTGATCTGAAGTTCTTATAGTCAGGAAACGCTGCAAGTTCAAATTTGTTTCGGTCTTGTTTTTCTCCTTTGGAATGAGAGGAATTTGCTAATTGCATATCTGCTAGTCAAGGCAGGTTTGAGGAGAAGAAAGTGAACAAAATCAGGATTAAAAGGCTAGGAAAAGAGTTCTGCCCCTCATTCTTTTCCAAAATTAGCTTTAGAAGCAAACTGCCAAGTGGTTAAGGGCTCTGGATGAAGTTCTAGATAGTATAGAACAACAGCATTTTCCCATTACTTCATTAACACATCCTCCTCAGGGAAGAAGTGTGTTTACTGTGTTTATTTACACATGCAAACTGATTTTACACTCCATCTACTTGCACAAGCACATACTGCTGAAAGCTATCAGAATAAAGCAACAAACCAGGAGGCTGTAACTGGCAGAGGGACCACAGCAACTCAGCAGAGAAGCTGGATGTCACAGACATGGGAACAAACAGCTAACCAAGAGGTGACCATCCAAAACTCAATGCCTGGTTATCTATTGCTACAGATACAGCCTCTTTCTGCAGCTATAGAGCCACAGCATGGCTTTTTGTCATTGATGCATCTTAATTCTGATAACAAAGCACCACACACCAAGAATTTGCTCCTTCATCTGTTTTTTAAATGGAGATCCCTAACAATTTCTGGCACAAAAGAAAACAAGTGGCAAATAAAAAAGCTGCCTCTGCAAAGCTACTACCATCAGTGCATGTGTGGGGTTAATTACTGGTTTTACTGGCTTTCATCTTGTGCGAATTTGTAAGAACCACCACAGCCTATAGACCAAGCTGTGTTCACACAGCAGCAGCTCTGCTCTTGAGGACAGCACGGTTGTCATGCAGCTCCTCAGTAGATGCCCCTATGGCAGAGCTGAAATGGGTTATCTGTAATGAGGATTTCTCAGAGCTAGGGATTTATCTTGCTAGCATGGGTAGCATGCATCCAATTCAATGGGGTAGGAAGGACAACTCAAACTGGCTAATGTCACTGACAACAACTAAGTGTGTGCAAGTCTGGATGTTCAGAATACCAACCCTATACCAAGGGAAGAGCATTTCTCATCCACGGGCTATCAGACAATATGATGTTGCCTCCATACTTTGTCTTGCAAAGGATCACACACTATGGTCAGTCTTCTGGTTTGAGTCCTAGCTGTGTGTGCTGCTTCACTCCTTTTGAAACTTGCTACATGAACAAACCTGCATTTCAGAATGGCTATCAAATTCTATGCTCTTTTTTCCCCCCAGTCCTAAATGAAAGTTGGAGGACAGGTGAGGAGTTCTTGTTTTCTAGTGATTGTGCCTTCTACAGTCATACACAAGATCTCCCAGTAATCCCCTGGGCTATTTTTAGGAACTGGCAAGTTTTATTTTCAGGGATAGGCTGTAGTCACAGGTCTTGCTCTATCTGCAGCTGATACAGGTGAAAAAGTTTCTCACGCCCAACTGCTTACCACCATTCCTTCCCCCTGCTCCACCTTCACATCTGCCACCACGACTGCTTGTGTAGGCACTCCCCCACACTGTGTACATTTAATAACAGGTCTCTTCTAATCCTGCTCATTTTGAAAGAACTAAGTTAGGGAATGGTTTCATGAGAGGTTACACCAGCAGGGCTAAGGCAACAATGACAGGGAGCTGTTGAGACTCTCTTCATCCAATTTAGCTGCAGCCAGAGCAGACCAGGTGACACAGTCTTCAAGATAACTTCTGGAGCTGATAAAAATGATGGCTTCATCCTTTCCCAGCACTGACCAGTTAGTGCAGAAGCCACACAGCTCTTCAGAGCCAACCTTGCATGGTTTTTCTTTTTAAATATATACTACAGGAGCAAAACAAGTCTGGAATGTCCATCTGGGGAATTATCACCCAAAAAGCAACGTGTAAAAGTCATTTTACATGAAACTACAGGTTTCAGCAATTTAACTCCCATTCCTAGTACAAACAGTAAGAGAAGCCATCAAGAGAACAAAAACCTGAAGAAGGCAAGCAACATTCAGCTTTACCAGGACACAAAAGCACAGCAGTCAGGAGAGATGTTTGTATTCATAAAAACAAGATCTTTACAGAGACACTGATACCGCTGAAGCCAGCAAAATCATTGAGACTAAAGCTGCCAACAAGACCAAAGACCGTACAAAAGCATTGGGGTAAATACAGAAGGAATTCATGGTTAAAAATTGTTTCTGACCTGAAGGAAGAACAAATGCTGGGTAATTTCCTGTAATAGTTCCTCTTCTACCTTCTCTGGGTAGAATTTAGCCAAAAAATGAAAGCTAATGGGATCTTCCTTAGGGATTTCTTGATCTAAAACCTGTTTACAGATAAAATAAAATCAGCAGCAAAAATAGTACATAAGTGCCTCAAAATAATATTCCAGGGGAAAATCAGAAAGCAGACAATAACCCACTCAATGCAACCTTTACATATTTTAGAAGAGAGGGCAATGCTGAGCTTTAATCTACTAGCAATCAGAACATCTAATGGTGATTGCTCTGTGATCCTTCAGGTCACATATAACAAAAGCAATCAGACCAGAACAAACTTCACTCTTAAAATAATGATACCATCTAAAATGGAGCTTTCGTGTAATACATTCCCCTTCAGCTCCTGTGCTTAAATAAGTAAATCTTTTTATAAGAAAGAAAACTGCCACGTTGATATTTTGTTTCCTATACCTTTTTGTCCATCTTTAACCAGGTGCACATTCCTTTTATTGTGTACTGCAAGCCAAAGAACCAAGTCTCCCTTAAACCAAGTGCTCGGCACACCAGGTCAAACAAGTCCTTTCCCTTCCACTTCATCTAAAAGAGAAAAGAAAATTCAGAAAAACAGGTATGTCTTGAATTTCCTTCATTTTAGCCAGGCCAAATAGGCTACCATTTGCCTTTCTCCTATGAACTCTTATTTGACCTTTAGCTTTTCAATGAAATATGCCTACTGCTGTCTACAAAGGTGCAATAGCTACCACGCTCCACCTCTCCTCTTCCTCTCCTCCACAGAAACATTCATAGAGCAGCTAGTCCTTTAACCACAGCATCAAGGACTTTCCGAGCATGGGGAATGACAATTGTACTACTGATGTCCTAGGACATGGCAAGGCTTCATTAGTATTTGTAAAATCTCATTCAATAGTTTATACAAATTGGAGAGACTGAGAGGCGGCCAGGGGAAATCAAAGGAGTGTCAGGGCACAGGGAAGAAATGCCAAACAGTGAAAGCAAATCCACCTTTCACATACCTTAGTTATTTCTGTGGCATCAAGCCAAGCCTTTATGCTACTCTGATTTAAATGAACAGAAGTCTCTCTTCTAGAGTAATTTAGTAGCCAGGCTCCACCCAGATCAAACTTTCTTGAAGGCTCCAGAATTCACACACATATGAGGCCTCATTTTTGCACTGAGGAGGCTGCACATCTGTTTCTTCTATTTGGCTACACGTTAAAAAGATGATTTTGTCTATTTGCTTTGGTGCACCATGAAAACTGGGGGGGGGGGGGGGGATTTTTAGGTAATATCTGAATGGAAAGCAGGAAATCATCCCAGAAGAACAATACTTGGGGAGAAGGGAGAGATAGCAAAGGAAGGAATACATTAAGCTGGATTTGTTAACAAGAACTTTGATCTCTAAATCAAGTTTTCCAAATCCTTTATTTTCACTGATCTAGAATACTTGCAGGGAGAGCTGTAGGTCACAGCAGTGAGCTGCTTGTGAGTAATCTGTTCTGTCTCTGAGGGACATAGTAAATGAAAATACTGAATGCCCCACAAGACACTCAAGTGTCTTACTAGAATTGCCAGTCCCATTGGACCTCAGTTTTCTAAATCCTCTTCTCCCAGTAACTGTGTGTCTTCTTGCTTTTGCTGGATGATTAGGAATTAATCAGGCACAGTTCTGTCTCCTCAACAGCGCAGCCCAATTCATTTAGCAATTCCTCACTTGCTGCATTTATTTTCTTCCGTATTTTCCTGCAGTCATGGTTTGTCTATCCAATCTACTAGAGTGCCATAACTACCAGAAGAAAAGCTAGCTTTTTCATTTGATCATTTTTGCCGTCTGCCCAGAGATACAAAACAGCCATAGTAGTTAAATAAACTGGAATTTACAAATGGGAAATTTGAAGAGAACACCCCATATCAGCTGAGCACAAAAGTACCATTTTATAACTTACTTTACAAGCAACATCTTAGGTTCAGCTCTGACCAGAGTTCTCTGTCAAAGCTGCTCAAGGATGCTGTGAATGCTCCATCCCTGGCAGTGTTCAAGGCCACGCTGGACGGAGTCTTGGGTGACACGGTTTAATGTGAGGTGTCCCTGTCCATGGCAAGGGGGTTGGAACTGGGTGATCTTAATGTCCTTTCCAACCCAAACCATTCTATGATTCAAAGTATATACACAAAGTATATACACAAACAAGTCCTGCATCATGTGCTGGAACGCTTATGAAGAAAGCAGGCTTACTGCTAACTTAGCAGTGTCACAGTCAAATGAATTTCATGGAACAGCTTTAAATCCTGACCAGTGCTGTTTAAAAGAATGCATCTCAGCCTGAGTAATCCATTGCTTCTAAAAATAACAGATCAGTTTTAAGGCCATCCATGAACTGATAACCTGAACATTTCAAATGTATGTCTTGCTCATACAAAGGTCAGTTTCCATCTTTCTGGCATACTGCTGAGGACTCTTACCTCACAGCTGAACTCCATTTCAGCATCCACTGTTACAACTTTGACTTTAAAAGTCTTTGGTTGTTTCTTCTTCAGGCCTCGGATGGACATATTTTTTAGTTTATGAGGACAGCCACACCTGAAATCAAACATGCATTACCTTTAGGGCTGGAAATCCAGTAACATTTTCTTGGCTAGATTCCACAGCAGGACAAATCCAAACTTGCAGAATAAAGTCACCTCTAAATATGCATTTAAAATTCAGTTTGATCTTTAAATTTAGTTTGCACCTGAAAATAAATTGCTCCAAAATGTCATTCCAGTCTTTCCTCAGACCCTGGCAAACACTGGGTTCCTACAGTACTAGAAAGAACATCATTCAGACCTCATATTGCAAGATCCAGGGGCTTGCCTCTCATTACGGCTGAAGACATCTAGGGAACCTTCAGTCCAGTCCTCATGCTCCATACAAGCACCCCTATCCATGCAATTCAGCAGTCTCTTACAACAAGACTCTGCAATGGATACAATACTTGGCTTTTGAATAATGCCAACAGAAATATGACATTCCTCATCCCTTTTAGGTATCTAAGCACAATTTCCTTTCTCAAAGGTCTGTGTGGCATGTACCAGCGGAAGCTCCACTTGTAAAACAGTAAAGTGCTACATCACACAGCAAAACCTTATGATGCCAAACCCAATTCAGTCCTTTTCCATTAGTTATGGCACCTTGAGCCACTAACCTACTGAGTTTCTTTACAACATGAGATCTTCACTCCCCGACATGATACAAATGCCAAGAATAACTGCAGTGACATTAAGCTGAATTTACCATGTTCTCTTGGGCATACTAACTCATTGTGACAAAAGTTAATTTTCCCAGTGGGCTTCTAGTGAAATGAATTTAATTTTGCAGAAGCCTACAGAATATGCCTTCACAAATCTAATATTCTAAGAGCTACTGACTGCATGCCATCAAGAAAACTGATATGTGCTATTTCCACAAGCCACAAGGGTTTTGTGGATACCATTCAAACCAAATGTTAAAAGCTGAGGTTAAATGACAGTGACAATCTGCACTATGCAGGTCTCAGGTGTTTATTTCTGAGCACATGAAATCAGCCTGCAAAGTTTTCTTCTTTTTACTTTATAAAAAGAACAGCTCAGACTTGCACAACCCAGTTAATATCTGTGAACTATATAGGTCAAGAGGAGGCTGAGGCATTCTTGGTTTCCTACAATGTAAGACTATTACACTGTGGCAGACTTCCAGTCTCTCCTTAAGGAATTCCAAAATAAAGTTCTAGCTTAAACTGAAAGGTTCCATTTATCTGAACCTGCCAGGATTTTATACATTATCTTGTCCCCTTCTTTGCTTCTGCTGATCTCAAAACTGGATTGCAAATGTACCGATTATTTTGAGGTTACCCTTGTATGTGCCCCTCAACCAGGAATTTGAAGTAGCTAAACAGGAGGTAAAAGGTATATGGAAGTTTTTCTTTTCAAATTGTAGGGAATCTGAGGCAGAGAACAGATGAGTCAGTTACCAAATCATATGGACATCCGCAGTAGAGTTCAGAACAAGTACTGGAGACAACTCAGAGTAGGGAAGAAAGGCTCAGGTGGAAATCCATCTTCCTGACACCACTGAGACCAGTTGAGGAGTCCTCTCCCTCCAGTCAGCTGTGGTAAAGCTTCTGCTGAAGTCTTGTCCAGCTGTGGGGCAACACACTTGGGAAAGATAATGGGTGAACTGGAGAAAATCCAAAGGAGAGGTCCAAGGGCTACAAAATAATCTGTGGTAAAATGAAAGTCGTGGTTAGTAGAGAGCAAAGGGACAGGCGTGATAAAACACATCTGCTCTTCCTGGCCACAATGGTTAGAACAAGGAATAATAGGCTTAATTAAGTTGCAGACAGGTTGAGGGAAATTCACTAATAACAGTATGATGATGCTGGGAAAGCGTAGGATGGAATTTCTATCTTTCTGAACTTCTATCCAAACAGTGTGACAGTATCTGCTCCCCACCTCAAGACGCAGGCAACCACATGCCCCTAAAGCACTCTCCCCAACTTCAAGTGTTCTCAATTAAGGGAAAAGGAGTATTTAAAACCCAGAAAATTACCATGGTAGAATGGTGTGATGTGGCCACAGTAATATTAACAAGGAGAGCATCACGTGAAGGCACCCAAAAGCAGTAATTATTCCAGTAATGTCGTTTGATCTCTGATCTGCAAGCTGCAGCACAGCTACCAGGAAAAATCCATGTTAACCTGTAACATTCCAAAGGTCTTTCCTGACCAGTTTTCCTCAAAACCTGGGATTTACTGTCAATAATTGTACCACTGGATACAGCAGTTGAAGCACGAGAACTACCAACTGGAAACAACTCCTTCTATGAGTTCTAGAAGAAACACTAATGGATGATGACAAAGAAGAAAAAAGCTTCACAATTCATTATTAAGATGTAATTTGAAACAGGATTTAAACAGGAACTTGGGTTTAGGGCCAGTACAGAACATTCTCAAAGAGTTTCATATGGAAAATGCTGAACCGATAAAATTGAACTGCAAAAGAATGTACTCATTTTCTCAAAACATGACAAAAATACTGGAGCCCTTCACTTTGCCTTTGAAGTACTTCCTTTTTCTTCTATAACCTGGTTGAAATGACAATATAATTTGTTCAACATTTCCAATAGCTTTTTTTTTTCCTTTCCAGAATTTTTATTCCATGGAAAAGTACATTCTGACTCACAGTGAAAAGACATTTTTGAATATCAAATTTTCCCAAGAAATGTAAACTGCATTTTAATCAATAGCACTGGTAAAGAAACAGAAAATGTTTTCACACTGAATAGCTTAAATGAGTGTCAGATACTGTCAACATAAGCAAAAGCACTTAAAAGTCAAGTTTTTTAGGAAAAAAACTTTTTCCTAAGTTTCTTCCTAAGATTCCAAGTAAGAGGAGTCTTGCCGAATAAGACAATCTGGGTATGCAATCTTTTGTTAAAGTGCAAAAGCAATCTACCCTCTAGATCCCTGCTAATAACAACACTTAACTGTGAATCATGTGCAACGTGTTTTCAAGATAGAGTTTCTGTCACTGAGCTCCAAGTGATTTATTTCTGCAGTTGCCTCAGGGACCTAAGCTCAAGACCCAGAAGCAGTGAAATGCGATAGATCAGAGTGTGCCATAACCTTACCAAGTAACACATTAATCCAAAATAAGGTGGGATGATAAAAAGATTCCTGTCCAGCCAGAATCTGGGAACAGTTCAGAAGCTGTGAACATCCACAGCTTCTCCTGCACCTCATGAAAACCAGCAGAAAGATGATAAAAGCTTTGCTTGATGAGGGGAACAGAAGTGCAGTGCTGAGGAATATAATTTGCAGGAGCTAAACAGTCCTGACTCTGCCTTTTAGGGTGTTCATATCAAGATGAAAGAGCTGCCATCCACCAGCTCTGACTCGATTACAGTCTTCTTCAGTCTTGACGATGACAAACTAATGCCTGAGCAAAACATGGGGGTGCAAGGGAAACTGGGAACAGCAGGCAATAGCTGGAAGAACTGGCAAGGCGACTCTTGCAAGGACTGATGCTTATCTATCACAGCACTAGATGGGCAGTGGTATTACATCACTGTGCTGCATTCTATCAATATGGGCAATAACCCACACATCAGCTGCCACTTCCAGTATTAAAATGACAAAGAAGGAAAAAAATAAACCAGCACATGCACACACACAGGCCAAGCTCAGTGAATTCACCAGAATTCAGTACATTAGAGACAGGTAAATACACCAGTGAGCAAGCTGCAATTAACCTTCCCAAGAGTAAAAGTACTATTTACTTTCAGTTTAACATTCCCAAGGATGCTTTCCAGGGCTCTCTATAGGGTATAAACATTTCCCTTCACATGGCACTTACTGTCAGGGACAGCAGTGAGCTATTACCATCCAATCACACTTGGGTCAGCCACACTGTTCCCACACCAACAGAAAAGCCAACCACGCTTTTTAAGGTGAGACCTCCCTAGTCTCAGCTGCAGACGTGTTAGGAATTAATAGCAATTGTGAAACCCCTCTCTTACCCCTCCAAAAGCAGTCTGCCCTTAAAGACCAGTACTGCACAGGGGCAGCAACTGTACCAGCTGCTAGCAAAGTCCTTACACAAGCTAGAAATACAAAAAACCCCTTTGGAGTGCAGCATGGTTTAGAGAAACAAGGTTTGAGAAGTGTTTTAAGAGGCACCAACAGAAGATGCTTGAAGCCTCAACTGCAAAAGCACATTAACACAGCTCCTACTACAGTTTGGAAGTCTCCTGTCATCGCTGAGGTGTTTACTGCTCCTCTTCATCCCAAATTCCCCTGACTCACTCTCCCAGCTCCTGAATTTTTATACTTAAGCTCAGAAATTAATGCAAGCCATTTGAATGCAGACAATACAGGAAAGCTCTGTGGGCTTTTTACCATTGTTGACTCACACTTCTGCCTGCGCTCCCTGCCCTGCCCAAGTAGCAATTTAAGCAAAGAATTTGCTGCTTTAAAATGGGTCAACGACATAAAGGTTTTTCCTTAGTTCCCAATCTACAAAAGAAGTTATCTGAAGTCACCAGCTGGAATCAGAACTTACCTCACAGATCATTTTCAGAAAGCAGATAAGGAAAAATCAGTTCTTTTGAATCCAAATGTCCATCTTTTCCAGCAGGCATCAGTATCCAGCCCTCACAAGTTCTGCCACTGAAAATAAAACCCAGGAATAACTTTTATACTTGATCCCCTTTCCTTTGTTTCCTATGAACTGCAGCATGTTAGCGCCCTCTGAAAAATCAAAGGATTGCTTTCCCAGGTGATATGAAAGGCTCTTAACCATTTCCTGCCTGGGCCAGCAAGACTCCTCCCAACTTCTCGCCACTGCAATTCACCCAGTCAGGCACTAAAATAAGAGAAACCCACGAGTCTTGCCTTGGAGAGCTGCAAGAACTGATAATGAGCTTCCAAATAACTCCTTTGAGCGTATCTGAACAAAGGATTTCAGCAGTGTCTCCCCCCATACAAAGCACAGCCTGGCCGCACCATACCCAGCCACCTTAAAAAGGGAAGGAAGCCGCACAGTGCTGTCCTGCGAAGTAAACACGCTTCCCTACCTGCCCTCTTCTATAGTGAGTGCTGATGGGACAGTACCACCCAAGGAGCCTGAAAAGTGAGGGGCGAAGGTACTTGCCCGAAGGGATGGTCGTAGCCTGAAGTCACAGGAAGAGAAACCACCAGCCCCATGAGCTGCCAGGGCACATTACCTCAAATGCAACAGCAGAGCAAAGACCTTTTCTTTGCCATTATTTAGTTTGTAAGGTGGGGGGGTGTTCCCTTATTTAGTGATTTTTTGGTGGGTTTTTCCCCCCTTCCATTTTTAGATACAGAAGCTGAATTGGGTACGCATGATCAAGGAGAGCAGGCCAGCTGTCCCTTCATAGAGGCTACAATCATTCTGTATTTACATGGCAAAACCTCAAGATTTGGCTCATCTATGTAACAGCAGGGGGAGGAGCACAAATCTCCTGCCTCCTGAGGTGCCTCCTGGCACCTCCACACAGGGACTGTGCTGGGGACCAGCTTCACCCTGAGGGTGAACAACAGCACCTCAGCTCTCACAGCTCAGCCTCCTCTCCTCCTCCTTCTACCACCCCAGCCGTGCTGCAAGCTGTGTCCGGCCCTGCAGCACAACCGCTGCTGAACGCACACCCACATCAGTCGTTTATAGCAGAAACCAGGCTGGATTGAGCTGTGCGAACCCAGAGACCAGGTGCAGGGCAAGTCTCTCCACAGGCAGCAGCTGCCTAAGGCAGCAGAGCCCGCAGCCAGCACCCCCTACAGCGGTCTCCCCTAGCTATAAGCTCAGGCAGGTTCCCCTCTGCCTAGGGCATGATAAAGCCCTCGTTTCTATTGTCTTTAAGCTCTCACTGATCGATCACACAGCCCCCCAGAACCACCTCAGCCCCTATCCCTCTACTGATAAAGCCCGCTGCCGCCTGCGCCTTTAAATGCTCCCAGGAGGCCCCGCCCCTTCCCGCCCGCTGGCCCCGCCCCGCTGCCGCGCGGCTCTTCCGGGTCTGCCGCTTCCGGCTCCGGTTCCGTAGGGCCTCTGAGGCGCGGCGGCGGCGGTGGTGAGGGGTTGTGGGGTGCCGGGCTATGGGGTGCCGCAGTGTGGGGCGGTCCGCGGGCTGGAGCCGCGCTCTGGAGGGTGCTGAGGCACAGCCCGGCATCCGCGGGACAGCGCCGGTCTCTCAGCCGTGATGGCGGGGGGTAGCTGAGGCAGGGCCTGGTGCGGAGCGCTGTGGAGAGCCGGGGGGCGGAAAGCTCCAGACCTGTTTGAACTCCCTCTGCTGTGGAGATGTTGTCTGTCTCTTGGCGGCCCGGCAGCTCCCTTGTGTTCTGAGGGTGTTGTATAGGGCTTTGCGTCTCCCCGGCCTGGCCGCTGTGACTGGGGGTGCTTAGCCCTGTTGTACAGGAGGGCCTCTCAGTCCCTGCTCCAGCCCTGTGAGTCACACAACTGAGTCAAGGATGATAAAAGTTACCCTGAGCATTGCTGCTTGGAGCATTTCATTCTATGCGAGTGTTTTTGTGTCCCTAAACTTTGCTTTTGATGTGTTGTGACATCAAAGCAAGTGTCATATAATCTTAGAAATTGGATAGAAGGAGATTGAACAGGTCAGTTGTGTTTAACAGGACACAGCTGGGTGGGTCATTAGTCTCTGTCAGTTTTAATATTGGTTCTAGTCTTATAATGTTTACCAATCTATTTTGCCCATGACTCTTGCAAAAGTGATATAGAAAGCTCACCCTAATTAAATCAAATAAGGTAATGGAGTGTAATTACTTAGAGGAGTGAACTAGCTCAAAAGTGATTACACTTACTGTAGGTCAGGCAACTCTTTGATATGTCATTTATGCCTTGAGAAGCTTATTAACTTCCTTAGGTTTCATCAGCTCAGATAATAGTGAGACACACAGGAGCAAATTGCTTGCTGGACCAGAGTTGCAGAGCGTTCCCCGTTTGGGTTAACTTTGGTTATACCCAGACCTGATGCATAGGTCTCCAGCAAAAACAGCTGCTGGAGTGAGAGTTAAATTCCTAGCTTCCCCAGCTACACATTTCTGTATTGGTCATGTGGCAATTGGCACATTCCGAAGGAGTTCTGTGGAATCTGTGGGATAAGATCCATCTTTATGTTACATCCATTTTTACTGTCATCCTGGAGTAATTTTCCCTGGTAATGGAGACATGTTGATATCCCTTCTTATACTGTAAAGGCAGAGGTAGTGCAATATATGAAGTTTTGAGCTGCATGTATCTATCCTGGTTTTCCAACAAAATGACCTAATTAAGCTGTTAGTCTGAAATGGAAATCATAATTTTGATATTGATCAGAAACTGATTTTGGGGAGGATTTTGGTTAAAATAACACGTCTGCTTGCTTGTTGCCAGGCGCTGGATGACCATACCTAAACAATGTCTGTACCACGTGGAGCTGTCCATGCAAAATGGATAGTAGGGAGAGTAATAGGAACTAAAATGCAGAAAACTGCCAAAGTGAGAGTGACAAGGCTTGTGCTAGATCCGTACTTCCTAAAGGTAAAAGATGGTTAACAACTTGTCTTGCATGTTAATATTTGTTCTGTCTGGAGGAATGTTTCATTGATTTTGATGTGGATTTTTGATAGCTCTTTACAAGGCAAACTCCTTAAGGAACATGCCTAATGATTGTCAGTTGTGGGGATGACTGCAAACGGTGACAAGCAGTGTGTTCTGAGGGCACTTCCTTACAAATTACTGCTAAATGTATTTATTTGAAGTGCTTTGTTAATGCACTTCATTTGATCTCAGTTGAGAAGGTAAGTTTTTGTTGTTTCACACTTTGATTTAATTTTTCATATTGGAGTATGCTTTGATTTGGAAAGTTGACATTAGTCGCTTTTACAGTGAATTTTGTAGCAGTTTTCCTTGTATGCATAATCCTAGGCATAGCTAGTATTTGAATCTATACTGTGATGTGTTACATGAGCTTTGTGTTTATCACTTCTTGTTAATGCATTTCAAACAGGGAGGTTAAAATTATTATTTTCTCCGTTTTTAGATACAGAAACCTTGGTACATGTGGGTGGAATAAGTTGCCTTTTCTGACCAGAAGGTTAAGGGTAGAGTCAGGATTAGATAATCAGCCTGCTACTTTATGCAGCAGAAGAACCTGTTAATTTCTTTCTTAAAAGAAAGGTTCTGAATTCTGCCACTCCAGTAAGAATAAATACTGAATTTTTATGTGAAAGAAAACTAACTGAACAAGAAAACTCAAATGACAAACATCAGAATACTGATTTCAGGACTGGTGAACTTTAAACATAGTAGGATGAATAAAAATTAACATTACTTCTTGAATTGTGGACTGCACAGGGAAATCATTCAGCTTGGAAGAGCCAAGGCAACTGTCTTGCTGAAGCAGTGCTGATGTGAAGTGTCCTGAGGAGAGGAAGAGCTAACACAGCAGAACAAGAGAGCATCTAATTTTAAAAACTATATAAAGCTTTACTCCTTAGTGAAATATAGTTTGTTTTATATTAACTATATATTTGCCAATTGCTTAATTTTGAAATCTAATGCCACTGTTTCTTTTTTTCCTTCTACAGTTCTTTAACAAACGAAAAACCTATTTTGCCCATGATCCGTTGCAGCAGTGTGTTGTTGGAGACATTGTTCTTCTGAAGGCTTTGCCTGAGCGAAGGAGCAAACACGTGAAACATGAACTGGCTGAAATTGTTTTCAAGGTTGGAAAAGTCATAGATCCAATAACAGGGAAACCCTGTGCAGGAACGAGATTCCTTGAAAATCTGTCGGATTCAGAAAATCTGACAGAGGCAGATACTACGTATCTCAGTGAAAAACTTCAGGAACTTAAAGTTTGCTCAACAGACAAATAGGGGAGAAGTATTTAAACCGAGAGCCCTGCTGTTGTATGTTACATGTTTCAGTGAGATCTGTAGCCCAAATAAATAGTAAACATAGTTGCTTATAACAAGAGATATCAATCTTATACAGATTGATAGGCACCTCAAATCTTTAAATTAAAATAAGAGAAAACATGAGTTTAGTGTTAACAGTTCATTTTGTTGCATGTAGTTTTGCCCCAAGCCTTGACAGGTCTAAAAGCTGACTGCTCACCTGGAATGACTCTTCTGTATGGAGAAAGACAAGAATATAACTGTATAATGTTTAGGTTTGGTGGGAGGGTTATACTATTTCATCTGTATTTCAGACAGTTTTTTGTGGTTTCTGGGATTACTTAAGATAATGCTATTAAACCTTTTAAAAGGAAGTGTAGAATTTTAAAACAAGCTACCTGCATGTGTCCTCATTTCCTCTTACAGTTGCTCATACCACATAGCAGTATCTTCTGAATTCCAAAATCTCTGACTCTCAGGATCACTGTCATTTGCCTTTATAATGGCAGTAAGGTGAGAATAAAAACTTTGAATAGCTTAGCATGCTTACCTTTGTAACCTGCCCAAAGCAAGTATTTAGTTCTGCAAGAGATTGGTCTCTTTGAGCTGCCATCAGGAAAGAGAAGCTGATGGGAATACAAAGCCGAAAAAGCAGACATAAAGATGGTTAGATTTAGTCTTGCCAGAAAAGCTGATTAAACCAACACATTTGGGGAGAGGTACAGGTGCTGATTTGTTGCATACTTTAACATAAAACTAGAAGGCCTTAGCAGTTAATGATTAAAGATAACTTTATCCTGCTACAGTTCTGGGAGTCTTGTGTCCTGTCTTCCAGGTCCTAAAGCAAACCAAGAGTGTGAGTCTGTTCCAGAAGCTTTATGTTGCCAACTCTTTGCTCAGATCTAAAGGGGCATCTGCCTCAAAATGCAGCACTGTGGGGACAGCATTCCATGTCCCTCTATGGAGGGGAGAGTGGTATATCAAAGCTATGAGAAAGCCTTTTTGAAGCATCTGGCTGTGGAATTGGTCTTTGTTTAAGATCAGAAGCTAAACAAGGTTTATCTGAACAGACTTCCTCTGACCTAAA